TTGGTCTCGAGGATTATGCACGCAAGCAAAGACGCGCTTCGGCTCGGACGCCTGCAAATAGCTTAAGAGGTAGCACAACGCTAATAGCAGCAACAACAAAAACACGGCAAATCAGTATTGTCGTACCTGAAGCGCCTGCGGACATTCTTAGTTCAGTTGCCTGAGCGTAAACGCGCGATAGGATTTTCTGCTATTGTCAACGAAAGCACGCAAAGCTCCGGGGATGTGCTTACTACTGTTTAGGCGTAAGGAGCGCAATTGCTTTGCGGATTTATTTACTTCACATTGGTTTCTTGTATAGACGATAAAATTTTGCATTTCCCACTAATTATTTTAGTTGCGCGAAAATGCTTTGATTCTCGGGAATCTTTCTACTATTCATACTCAAACTTAACGCTTTCCCTTAGAAAATATAAGCTTTTGCTAAATTGACTTGCAAATTGCTTAACTACATTACTTAAAATTGGTGATTTAGTTTCATTGTCTCCATTCTGGAGAGAGTTTTATATTTCTGGTAATTTTTTGAGACGTTCAACGAAGTAGAGATCTGTATCCATTCCATAATTTTTAAAGTTCTAGAATCTCACAAATCTCATATTACCCATCGAGCGGTAATAACGCACTCAACCCATTTAGATTAGGTATTCAGTGCACACAATTTCGAAGACCTCGATTATACCAGACAAAAATATAATTAATCGATATACTTATATACGTATAAGGTCTAACATTAAAAGTTTAAGAAATTATAGGTTATGTTTAGCGTAGTTAGAATGATACAAATTAGGTTCAATGGCAGCAAGGAGTTTTGCAGGCAAGAAACTGGGACACTCGATTTTCACAAGGTTCTCTTGAGGCGAATATTTCGCCACCAAAGTAATTCGTCATAGACAAGAACAGGTAGTAATCACTTAGTGCCAGATTAAGACTTTAAAGTGGATGCATAAGAACCTCTGCATCAAGCTCCCGGAGCTTTGGAGCGTCACTATCAATGTGCATGGCCTGGCGTTGTCTCGATGGAACATGGTTGTGGTTGTTCTTGTTGTAGCGGCAGAAAACATTTCTTAAGTAATTTGGAGGACTGCTGCCAAGTTAACCCTGGTCGGCTAAAAATCGGGTTCTTTCCGGTTACGTAGCACCGACTGTCGTGGTATCGGTAACTCCTACTGGCTAAAGCTGTCCTCTTCTAGGCGATCGCCACCCTTTAACGGTCTAATTGTTGACAGTATAGGTCCGAACCAAGAGTTGGTCGTAGGGGAACAGCTCAAAATAAACCTTCTGGACTTTCAATCCTGCATTAGCCACTGTTTGCATCAGCTCACCGCGATTTGACAGAAACAGTTTTCGTTAAATGTTGTCGTCGAAAGTCGCAGGTGACCCACTTTTTATTACCAGTAGCCACCTGCTTCAGAAATTGTTCGATTTTTTTGCGATTCCCAAATGGAAATTCGGTCCGTAAGGTTTTTTTGCGTAACTGAAACGCACCCAACCCGAGATACAGATCGCTAAAGCCATCTATTGGAAAAATAATGGGTTTATTTTTACTAGACCTAATAAAAGATGTGTTGTCATAATTCGATATGGCGCCACCTAGCGGTATATTTTTCAAGCATAGTTCACTCTCCGATTCCAGTAAATTTAGTGAAATCAAAAAAGATCCCAAATACAAGTTTTGGTAACAATCTGATTATTATGCCATATATCGAAATGTTATTATACATATGGTGTAACCGTCTCCAAAATATTATAGTAATAAGTTGATAAATCGAATCGATCGAATCCATACGAACGGCAGGCAACCGTAAGTCACAAACGAACATTAATTAGTTTGTATAATAGATAAGGATACATATTGTTGTACATATGTATATTCATTTATCGTTTAAAAATATGCATGAAAAGATATGCGAGTTTATTTAAAATAGAGTCGTTTACCAGAGCACGACTTCCAGTTTAATTATACATACGAGTATATGGTATTTATGTTTATACATGTATATAAATATATGTTACTTGTAAATTACTAAACAAAAACAATAGCAACAGTACTAAAAAATAGTTATGAGTCAAATGAATATGTATGGTAATAAAAAGCGGCAGTGCAGTCGACTTACTGTTAATTTGTCACTGCTGCCGCTAAGACTGTTAGGTGACGAAATTATCGAGTTGATGTGAGAAAGCTGGCACCAATTTAAAAATCTAGTATATATTATATTATATGCATATGTATATACATATATATATATAGATTACATTAGGGTGTCCGTTATTTCCTAAGTAATTTTTTTTTTTTTTGGCAAACGCACCCTGATTTTTTAGTTTTTCCCCTAAAAAATCGGACTGGCTTAAATATATTTTTTTCAAATTGTAATTTTATTTGCTTGGGAAATAAAAAAACTCAATGTAAAATATCAAAAAATCCCATGTAAAATTTATACATAGAAAGAGTAAATGACTTGGCGCGTTTTTATTTGAAAATGAACGGTTTGTTTGCATTGGTTTCTTTTTTACCGCAAAAAACTTCAGGATACGTGTGCCAAAAGCAAATAAACTTGCAAATAACGGACACCCTAATTTTACATTTATTGGGTTTTTCAAAAAAATTTTAATTTTTCCAACTCTTGCTCTCTCAAATATTACTATTTGATGACAGAAAATCCTCACCAAAAATGTGCTCTATTACTCAATTTTAAGGGGACGTTATTTTTATTTTAGTTTCCTATTTAATTAACATGGGAAAAACTACTTTTTTTGATAAAAATTGACTTTACACACGCAATTTTTTAAAAGAAACCATTTCAGTTTTTTAAATTTGAGTGTCTAAACTTTACTAAACTCAAAGACAAAGTGTGGTTATATTTATAAAAAGAGTAGTTATGGTATTACTAAACTTAGAATTTGGAAAAAAGCTCGCAATAATTTAATTTAATCATACCTTGTCTCAGAGTTGAGTAAAGACGAATGTTTGAGTATTTTTTACAACATATATAAACGTTTGAGTACCTAAGTAAGAACACACTAATACATATATATATAAAAAATTTAATTAATTTTTACACCAATGAAAAAATGAGTTAGAAGAGGAGCTAAAATTTGTAGGCCGAGTTTAGTCGAAAAGGTTATTGCAAAAAAAGCTAAATGCTGCAGAAGTGTCATAATAATTATAAGGTAGAATTGTATTTTATAACATAAGTACTTGCACCTTGTTAACTTTCCGGGTTGGATATAAATTTAGTTGACTTTCTTGATTGCGTTTGATATATACCATACAATGTATGTACATACATGACATACCTGAAATTATGAAAAATAAAATTCAATTAGATCGCAAATAATATATATTCACAATATATAATGATATCAAAAACCAAACATTTCATTAAAAAATGTTTGCTTAATTTTTTATGTTTTGTAAACACAAAACAGATACGCGGAGTTCGAGCGCAACTAAACGAAGCAAAGTAAGAGGCGACTTTCTGCGTAAAATATTAAATGTCGGCTAATTTTTCGTTAAACAAGTCAGTAAAGTTAGATTTAAATATATAGACAAACAGTAGTTTTGAGATAACCTTATGAAACTTAATACATATGTGGACAGAATCGGACATGTGCCACGCCCATAACTCGGATGTATACCAAAAAACAGAAGGTGTTCTAACCTGGTAAATACTGCTAAACTCCAACTTAGCGAAAGAGGTTAAGGCTTTTGAAAGTTTTGATATAAGCGAGAACATTGCATTTTAGCACTTAATACTATAGTGGCAAATCAGGAGCTTTTGATTGGATTAGTTCCAAAAGTGAACAATGGGCGTAATACCGCCCACTTTAAGTGTGGATTCAGGATTCAAATATCATAATTTATTTCAACAAATTTTATTTCATACCTTCTCCGACTGACATGTGCCATACGATTAAGCATGGACGAAATTCATAGATGCCAAAACTGCATACGAGTATGACACGTCCCTTCTATTGACTTAACACCGTAAAATCAGTTAATATGTGATATCTAGTCGAAATTAGATCAGGAGACTTTATTGAGCAGAATCTAGTGTGGTGTAGGTACGCTAACTAACGACGGACGACGCTAACTAAGCTAAGCCTTTAGGAAGGGCCCTTCAATGCCAAATTTTGTGAAGCTATTTGCAGTTTGTATGGCAGCTGTATGCTTCAGTGATTCGATATCGGTGGTTCCGACAAATGAGCAGCTTTTTGGTGACATGTGACATAAAATTCAAAATTTCTGATCGATATCTCAAAAACTGAATGACTATTTGGCGTATATATAGACAGACGGACGAACGGACATGACTAAATCGCCTCAACTCGTCACTCTGATCATTTAGATATGTACTTGTATGTTATATGGTCTTCGACGTTTTCTTCTGGGTGTCACAAACATCTTGGCAAACTTAATGTGCCCTGTACAGGGTATGATGAGAGGAATGATCAAACATTTCGAGTAATAAAAAATGTTAAACCCATATTTCAATAATTTTCCAATATAGTTTGCAAACATCTCGAAATCTTTAATTAGTACTATTCTCTAGTACATACTTTTGCTGCTTTTAGGTATTTTTTGCCTCCAACATTACAATCGCGCAATTTATTTTAATTTTTCAAAGCGCTAAAGCGTGTTTAACTGTTTTCATATGCGCGCTAAGCTGTTATGGAGCAAGTATATAGCAACAAAATACATAAAGCAATAACGATACAAAAGCACCGCTGATGACACCATATAAAATGAACGATGATTGGCAGCGGACAGCAGACGACGCAGCAATGACGTCGATGACGCTGTACACAATTAGCTGGCTGACGGGCCGGCCGAGCCGCTAATCGCTTTATCAGTGAAAAAAGTAATGTGCAGTGTAAACATATGAAAAGAAATTATTGTTGTGTATGTATGTTGTTATGTCTACATATGTACTTATACATACTCATATGGTATATGAGGGTACACATGGGCCTTCATGAGCTTAATCACATTTGAATTTTCAACAATTGCTCGCTATCATTGCAGCTCATTGTTGTTATTGCTATTATTGTTGTTGTTTTTATTATTGTTGTTGCCACAGTTTGTACTTTTCTCCATCGCTAACTATACATGACATTATGCCATTATCGTCGGGCTATGCTGCGCTTCTTCGCTGTGGTCAAAGTCAGTACGGGCTTCCACAGCCCGAACGCCCGACCACAGCACGTCGCCAGTCATACGCCAAGCTTGGCACAGCGCTGACGCTTACAGCTATCGATTTTTCGCCGCTCGAAAAGTGCGAAAGTGAAACGCGCGCAAACTCGTGCTCGCCAAATTCGCGTTGGCTTTTGAGAACTGTCAGTGCAAATGTCAGTTTGCAAGCGCAGTTGACAGAGAGCGAGAGTGAAAAGTGTGCTACGTGAGAGTTTTGCTAGTGAAACAGCTGTCATTTGTTGTTTGTTTATGAAAATGCTTTGAAAAAGAGTTGCAAAGTGTGTGGTTTTCAGGCGATTGACAAATTTCGTTCGCTGTTATTGCTTTGTGTTGTTGTTGTTGCTGCTGACACGCTGGTGTTGCACCAAATGTTGCGTGTTGCTGTAGGTTAGTGTTACCGTTTTCGTAATTATTGAGCAGTTTGTTGAAAATCTGACATTTCGCCGGAAAACAAGTCGGAAGTGAGTGCCAATAAAGTGTACGGCTTTTTTTTCGATAAAACGGCGGCGGGAGCGACCGCCAAGCGTTAAGCCCAGAAATACAGCTGTATAAGTGGAATTAAAAGCAAAATCGGTGAAAAAAGATATCAAAGCAAAAGCTTACTGTTATAAATAGGCGAAGATGTGTGTGTGTGTGTGGCAGACCTGCGGTTCGAACCATAAACGTGCAAACGCCAGTGAAATGTTTTATAAAAACCAACAATAATGTGTAATGGAAAAGAATAAATGCAAAACGAGTGCATAAATGCTGGTGATTTGGAACGGAAGTATCATTTGCGGCCATTAGCAGCGTCATAAGACACTGCCAACGCAGTGTCCAGGGCGGAGGCAACCATAGAACCGAGAGTGCCCGCTGGCGCTGCAAATGCATCTCACTCTTACTTAGGTTATATAGAATTTAGTGGCTGGGGTGGTCGGCATACTTAGTAGCCTCAATAATTCAATGAAAATCAAATTTAATTTAATTGAGAAAGTCACGAGAGCAACGCATTTGCGAATGAATGGCAGCGACAGCAAGCAACAAAAACGAATGAAAACCATGTCAGAAAGCTACAACAACAACGTGAAAAAGCAACAGCAAGTAGCACAACCAACAGCAGCAAAAGCAAAGCGAAACACATTATGAAATATTAACAAAATAAAACCCAAACACAACAATAAAAATGTGTGTGTGTGCAGCAAATTGCTTACAAGTTAATGCCGCACCCAAATTTATAGTTGAAACTTATAAGCAATCGCCAAATAAATATTATAAGTAAATAAGATCAAAGCCCGAATGGCGAAGATAACTATATGACAACTAAATTAAAGTCACGTAGTCAATATAATGTACAAACATATATGTACATATGTATGTGTTTATTTAACTAGCAAATTATTAGCACAATTGATGAAAAGTGATCACAAAGAAGTTTTAATTAGAGTACGTGAGAAAATATGTTTAATAAATTTAAATTAAAATTTAATTTAAAAAAATTAAATTAGTATTAACTTTCACAAGTTTTATTAAATAATCTATAAAAAATATATGTATATTAAAACAATGTTAAAAAAAATTTTAAAATATACATAAATAATAATAAATTATGAAAAAGAAATGAAAATATGGTAAATAAATATTAATTTTCTAAAATTATATAATCAAAATAAAAAGAATTATATAATATTATATACATTATAAAAAAAATTAATATACATAATAAAAATTAACAAAAATAATTTAAAAGCAGTACCAAATGCATAACAAAAATTAATAAAACAAATAAGGCAAAAATAATAAAAAAATATATAAATAAAAAATGATAAAAAAGAATGTAAAAGCTGATAATAAAATAAATAATAATAATAAAACAAATTAGTTTTAAAATATCTATAATAATATATGTGTGTATAATACACAATTTTAGCAAATGTATTAGCTAAGCTTAGTTATAAAAAGAGAAATTAAAAAACCAATGTTCAGAACTCCAGTTACTAAACCATTACAATAAAGAAAAAATATTTAATTCATCTTCAATAAAAAATAACTAAATCATAATAAATGATGTTACTAAAAAATTAAAAAATGAATAGGTTCAAAAAATAACACAATAAAAATAATAAATAAAATAGCTGTTACGTAAAATACACACACAGAAATAAATAAAATTGACATTAAAATCGTTAAGAAACCATTTTAATAAAAAAATGTTATTCTAATAAAAAAAATATTAATATAAAGTTAAAATATAACAAAAAAAAATTGTTTTAAAAAATTTTAAATAATATTTATACAATTAAAAAAACCCAAAAATTTAATTTAGAAAAATAAAATAAAAAAACACAAAAATTTAATAAAAATAAAACAAAACTTAAATAAAAATAAAACCAAAAATTACATAAAACAAAAATAATAAATGAAATAAAATATCTGTAACGGTATATACGCATACAAACGAATATGCATATACACAACGCTAAAAGCTGAAAACATTAGAAACTAAAAAAATTTATAATCTTTAAATAAAATTTTAAATATACAAGTATTAAAAAAATCAACGAAAAAACAAAAAAACAAAATAAAAATAAAAAAATTTTTAAAACACATTAATAATAGAAATAAAAGTATAATAAACTTTAAGCTAAAACAAAAAGTAAATTAAAAATTTTCTTACAACAAAAATAAAAATAATATACAATATATAAGATTAAACTAAAAAAAAAAAAATTATATATAAAAATTAAATAAAAATATTATAATTCGAATAAAAATAAAACAAAATTAATTTTAAAAAATTAAAAAAAAAACACAAATAATTATTTACACACGAGCGACATGTATACATAATGTGTAAAACAAAACTGGTAACAAAAATTAAATTAAATAATTATAATTTATAATTATTAAATAAAAAACAACAAATATTGTGTGACAAATTTAATAAAGCAAAAATAAGCAATATAAAAAAAAAAGTATAATAATTGGTGAAACCGACACAGTAAATTAATTTTAAAACTGAATCATAAAAAATATAAATTTTAAAAAAGCTTTAAAAAATTTCTATAATTAAAAAAGTATATAACATAACAATATTGAAAAAAGTAATAATTATTTAGTATTGGAATAAATTAAAGAAAAAAATTATAACAGTCGTAAGAAAATTAGAATAAAAACGAATATAAATAAAAAACAAACTAAAAATATTAAATTAACTAAATAAATCGAATTAAAAAATTAAACACAATATTAAACATGAAAATAATACTGAAATACGTAAAAAATAATTCCACTGAGACAAGAAAAAATTAGTAACAATTTATGATAACAAAAAAATAATAAAATATTATTTAAAATAAATAACGGAAAAAATAAAGTAAACTACAATAACTATTTTTGTTACTACCAACAAAGTATTTTACTGGGAATATCCAAGCGCAAAAAAATAAATAGATACAATAAAAATAAACTTTACACATAAAATACATTAACAAAAAAAAAAAAACAATGTATGAATACAAACACATTCACAACATGATAGAAAAATAAAACAGTTAATAATAAGTAATATGAAAACATCATCATAGCAAAATATCAAAGTGATTTTTAAAATAAAAGTATTAAATAATGAACAAAAAATAAAAAATAAAAATATTTATAATACAAAATTTAATTTACGAAAAAAATGATAAAGAACTGTGATTGAAAAAAGATACCAAAAATACACTAAATAATAAAGGCTTTCGAAAAAACCAAAAAAAAATGTAAAATTGTTTTTTTAAACAACTTCGATGGGTTTTTAAATAAAAAAAAAACTTAAAACAAATCTAAACAAAATAATGGAAACACACTACAATCAACAAAGAAATAAATAGTAACCCAAAAATTGTGTACAACAACACCAAGCTCAAAGTTAGGTAATGAAAAAACGAGCAATTAAATTCAGTTTCACCTCATCGCTTTCCTAATAAAAGCCACACGAAGGACACAAAAGTCAAATCAAAACAAAAAATATTTGGTTATTACATAATCAAAGAAAATTTTGGTTTACTTACAGTTCGCTCGAACAGATTTACAGGCAATTCCGGTGCTAGGAAATTATTTTCCTCCAACAAATTAGCCGCAATCATAATTAAAAGTAAGTGTGAGTATTAATTTCAGTCAAGAAATAAAATTACGGTATACTAGTAAGAAAACGTTATTTGGGGCGGCATCGCACTTTAAATGAATTTACTGTGCCGGAAGTTACAATTATATAAATATGTATATGGAACAACATAGAAAATCTGTATTTAAAAGCTTAGACTGGGTTTGAAGTCTTCACCATTGATAAACACTACCACTACCACAACAATCAAGTTTAGTTCTATTTCAGCACAACAATCGGAAAAGCGTACGGCTAATGGACCTTAAGAGTAGCTTTTTCATGGCAAATAAAATCTTGGAATATTTATTATTACCTACCGAGTTAGTTGCAACTGACATAGAACCAATAGTCTTCGTAGTGTGGTACGAATATACGTCTAACTAATGCAGTCACCGACTTGTCCAATTGCTGGCTTCAAACTTCAGTGAAAATTTGAAATTATGAATTTAGTTTTTCTATATAAACCAACCTTCCTTTCGAAGAGACATTTAACCGAGATGCTGTCATTAAATGCGACGCCAGAGAAGAATCATTTAGTATTAGCTGCTCCTACGGCCAGACTCTTAATTCGAACCTGTAATGTCAAAAATTCGACCGTCTAAAGGTAGATATCACCATAAGCGGCCAGCTTCGGTCAATAGAAGTGTAATTGTGTTATATCAGGGCAATCACAGGCCACACACATCGATAATAACTCGCCAAAGCTCGATTGGGAGTTTCTTATGCAACCACTTTTATAGTCCGGACCTGGCACCGTGCTCCTGACAATGGCAAATAATTTCACTCACTTCAAGAGACGATTGTGAAAATCGTCTACCCCAAATAAAACCTTCAATTTGATTAAAAAATACTGGATTTACTTTTATTAGATCTTAAATTACATACGGTATAAAATCAACTGGAATGAGAAATGAGGAATAAAATGCATGTATTGTTAAGGCCAAAGCTGAATTTTTTAAAGGAAAGCCTTTGTTCTTTGTAAGATCAAAAGCCAACTTTTAAACTGTGATTAAAACCAGACTTAGTGACAGTTGTACGTACTAACTTTTATGCATTATTTTTTAGGAAGTTATTGTACTATTGAAATTTTTTAACAGTACCATTATAAGGTCAGTGGAAATACATATGTATGTATGAATATGTGTATGCCACATCCCCTTCTAATATTATTAAAATCATATGACCGTCTACCATGTACACTCAGCTATGTGAACCCCTCAAAATTATAAAAAAATCCATCTTAAAGTCCCGATTGTATGACTCATGTTAGCACCTATTCATACATACATACATATATGTATATATGCGGATTAATTACAAAGCCTCATAACATGTATTTAAAATACTTCACCGAAGTCATTACATACAGAAGTATTAATAATCAACAAAAACAATAAAAACAAAGGGTATTTTTTGTTTTATTTAAGAGTGTAATTGATATGCTGCTGACAAAGGTTCATTGGAATTTTAATTTACTTTAGCTTGTCGTAAGCTTGTATTTTTAATTGCGATGAGCTTTTTTTGATTGGATTCTTCAAGTGAACGTTAAACTGGTTTTTGAAACCACAACTTTTAGCGGCAATTAGCTTAGTATGAGTTCATTAACACAACTTTTAAAAATTTCCCTTTCTTCTGAATTTTACGTCGAACAAATATAATCTGATAATCGCATCATAATAGTTACAACAGAGTATAATGAATCTTATTCTAGAAAAATCATAAAAAAGAGCGCTTCTGATCTCTGCTCACTTGAATAAAGTCCCACTAGAACGTTAAAGAAACAAGTGGAAGAGAGACTCAAGAACTAGGACATACCGTCAGTTACCACGAAATAAAATGTTCGGCCCACTCTGAGTGAGTTCATCGAGCGGTATCTTAGCAACAACATTAAGTGGTCTGTTCGGTTTTTTTACCTTAAGCAAAGTGCAAGTCACTCACTTGGAAATATCTGTTGTTAGAGCTATTAAATAATATGAGGTCCAGCCGCATATAATGGCAGAGAGGCAATTGAAAGCAGATATCGGGAAACTTGCTCGTCAGAATTGAAATCTCTCTACAAGAAGTATTCAAAGATTTCAGCAAGAGATATGGACTAACCGCATTTTCTGTATAGAGCCTTTTCTATTCAAGCATATCTTTTGAAATATAGTGTCTCTACTAAAAAAGTAATATTTTTCAAATTTTTAGTGATCGCCGAATATTTTTTTAAACTTCCTTAAAAAAGGAATTAAAAAACCTAAGCATATATTTATTATAAAAATACACATTAGTCTCAAGCCTACTGAAGGTTTACAAAAAAATGGAATTTTCTCCCAACATTGGGGCTTTTTTATTTTCAAGCTTCATTGAATTATGATATAGTATAGACAGAATATTTGTTATTTAGGATTTTCTTTCTTACTAAAAAAGTAAGAGCGTACAAATTGTAAGCATTAACACTCTGAAGCAAAATCTATGAGCTTTCCAAGCTTCGCTTTTTTAACACTTTTCATCGGAAGGACATTTTTCTCATATGTTTCTGGTATCCCTGATATGCTAGACCACTGCGTCCGGGAAACTTCACCTGGTTCTGTCTTTTCTGAACACATACCCACAAGGAATATTAGAGTAGGGCGAAGTCACTTGAAAAGAGGCGCAGCTTTTTCACAGATGAATCGACGATCAGGGAGTACGATCGAGAGGAATTTTTCTGTCGGAATCTCTCTATTAATTTTAGCTACAGGCTAACAGACCACTGTTGTATTTTTCAGGCATAAGTGACTGCAAATAAGATACTTGCACTGCTTCGAAGTGCATTTTCATCCAGAGAGGTGGACATTCTCTCCAATACCAAAGTGTCAAGTTAATAAGTGTCTCAACTTACTAGTAAAAGCTTTAGTTACAACGACTGCAGGCCTCTTATATTCTAGCACGGTATCTGTGAACCGCGTGCGAGCTTAGTAGTCCATGTTTAGCCACAATCACCTGTGCGAAATCAATATCCCTCTGGTTCAGAGTGGAACGTAAGAGATCCATTGACTTACTTGCTCTTATCAAGGTTCACCGCACTTCAATGATATGAGTTCTAACTGGACACTGTCCTATTGGTACTTTCTTATCCACGGCCCATCTTTCGCTCGATTAAGATTACAGCTTCTTAGTAGTCATACTTTCTACGACCACGATGAATTGCCTTATCCAGATTCCTAGAATATTTATTTTCGGTTTCGCACAAAATTTTGCTCTCTAACTTCTTTCTTGTCTATACTATATTAGCTTCTTCCTTTTCTCCAATAAAAATGAAGTAATTATTAAGCCTTTATAAGAGCCTTAGAATGAATTAACCACTCAAATAGTAATTATTTCATTATTTGTTTTTGTTTTTTTTCTTCAAATCAACTCGAGACAGTATGGTAGCAATAAGATCATTAAGAAAATACTTAAGAATCACTCATTAACAAACATTGCTTTCTCGAATTCATTCGATATCACTTCACTTTGAATTTAAGTTGAAAATTAATACGATTAAACAATGTTGTAATTGACTTTAATACTTTTTGATTTTCTTTCTCTACTCTTCTCTTCACCTCTCATCTCTTTCAATTGTAGCGCACCTACTCAAGCGCATCGACTAACGCCGAAAGTATGGGCAATACGCAAACAAACAATAGCGCACCAGCTCATGAGCCGCAAACGCCGACAAATGGCGCAGGTGGTGGCACTGCTGGCGCTGGTGGCACGCTGAAAAGTCGACGTGGCAGTCGAGTGAAAGTTTTTGCACGTTTCAGTCAAAGGAAACAAGCAACGCAGCAGCAACAGCCGACCGCGTCCGCGTCGAAGGAGGCCATCGTCGCCACACCCACATCGACTTCCGCTTACGATGACTCGATCGAGGAGGAGCTGCTGATGCTACGCCAAAGTCATGCGTCTGTGATAAGGCAATTGGAGGATGAACAAATGGATTTTCGTAAGTTTGTGGCTTTCATTCTATTGTATCTTGTAAAACAGTTTTGGTTTACTTTCTTCTTTTGTTTTGTTGGTTTTTACTTTGTTGTTGGTGTACATATTAAAAACTTGCTCCTGAAATTCTCCTACTCGTATACTTTATTCTATTATATATATACATACATACATATATACCGTTAATGCTACAACAGTTGCTTATCAAGTTTCATCAAATTGTTGTTTTTATTATTGTTGTTCGTTGACTTGTTTGCTTGTTACATTTGTTACCGTTACTCTGTACTTCCTGCGAAGAAGTTGTGAAATTCTATAAATATGTCTATGTATTTTTAAATTAAACGGAAATGCAATTTGTAGCGTTAAATATTTACTGATTTTGGCAGTTGGCTGATTTACTAGCATTTCTTTTTATAATTGTTATTTATTGTTCATTATTCGTTCTTTCGTCTTTTCATGTTTCGTTGTTTTTAACGTTAATACAACTTTTATAGATCTTTTGATTGCCTGTTAAAAAGTTTGAAAATATCGAAGAAAAAATATTTTTTTTTTGCGAAAAGTTGAAAGTTATTTTTTTGTGCTTTTTCCTTCCTCTTGTTGTAGTTTCCGTGTAGTGTGAGTAGAAAAAGATTGGCAAATCATTTCATTAATAGTAGCAAATATCCACTTAAAATTCTTTTACAATATTTTTCTTCGACTATACCTATTTGATAAGATTTACGAATGTTTCTAAATAGAGTAAGAACGCCAAGCATTGCTGGCATATTGTGATATTTGACAAACTCTTCTTCGATTATACATTCGACCGAGCCGAGCGATTAGAACTCGATCATATTTGTTGGTTGTTCCTACCATGGACTTAGTTAGCGCTGGATGCGCCATTTTGATGCACTATCATAGTATCTTAAAGTCTTGCTATCCGTTTCATCGTTGCGCTTAAACCAGTTGATGCTGTCAATAAAACTACTTATATTATATCTGCTATGTTTTTGGTGAAAAACCATCCAAGGGTTAAAGCTGGGCGTTCATGGATAAAGTGGAAGACAGTTTTCATATTCACTTTCAGCTTGAAGCTGCGGCAAATATTGTTGTAAGTGAGGCCTATTTTTAGCACGAAAGGGCATTCCGCTGTTATAGTAGCAGTAGGTCTATCTATAGTACTTCTGAACCTATTTAATAAATTCTTGGTTCTAGTCCTGTCATAATTGTCATAGCTTGTTACTGATTTCCATCTATTCCGATCTATTTGTTCAAAATGCGTATTAAGCTCTCTTTTGAATGTTCACAGCGGGCATGGCATTACCTCCGCCTCGGAATCATCTAAGGAGGCTCCAGCTTTACCAACTCGTCTGCATTTACGTTGCAGAAAATGTTCCTGTGACTAGCGATTCGCTATTCAATATTCTACTCAATAGAACTCTACAGACCTTTTCTATACTTAGTAATTCCGCTTGGAAGATACTAGCTGTTTGTAGTAGACGGATAAATAGAGAGAGATATCAATATACTTGAAGTATACCCCGGCCTCTACTCAGCAGCCTATTTTGGAACCGTCGGTATAGATCCAAATATCATCTGCATACCGATCTGGAGGGAAACCTTATCTGATAATAAAATCCGACTATTGAAATCTAACCTTGGGAGTATATAGTCTGATTTAATTAGATTCAGCTGGTTCAGGATGGCACTATGTTCGTAATCCTTCCGGTTCCAAGCTCTTAATACCTCTATTCTGAGAGTACAACTATCTGCTGCTTTCCAAGTAAAGACAGTTAATGCAGGAGCATATTACGCACCTCGATCGGACACGACTTATTAGCACCAGTAACCCCTGCACAGGCTGCTCTTTAATAATTAAAATTATTTTACTCAATTATTAACCAAGTTAAGATCTCATACTTTAATTCAGTGTTTTTGCCAAGCGAACTGAAAAGCTATAACATGTTTGCACCAAAGCAAACCCAAGTAGCTATACTTGCCCAAAATATAACTTAACAAACATAATAGCGAAGGGTTTATTAATCGGCGATTAGTTTTTAAAAATTTTGGATTCCCATTGATCTCGTAGATGATCTCGAGTAGTACATCCGAAAAGAGTTGTTTGGCGATGAAAAAGTAAATTTACCAGCTTAAAATTATATGCAATCTAAATACAAAAAAAATGTGTTACTAAAGATGAATACAGCTTCTTGGCATTGCCAAGGATTTTCAAAGTCCTATAGAATTAGACTTAAATTCGGTCTCCAAAATTGCCTACTCTTGCAGGAAGGAGTGGGAATGGGGTGAAGTGAACAAGATACATTAATGAGTATCTATACGGATGAGTCCAAACCAAATAATCGAGTGAGAGGAGGGGTCTTTTCAGCAAAATTATATACCAGAATCGTCAGTTTCTTTCAAGCGAAGATCACATCAATTAAAAAAAGCTTTCTTGTTTTGACAAAGAGTGTGCTCACAACAACAAATATATCCGTATATACATAAAGTGAAGCGGCTTTGAAATCCCTAAAGCCTCTTAGAATTTCATCAAAGATATTGAAATATTGCTATGATCTCTTGGTGAATATAACATCCTATATGACGATAAGCTTGTAATGGATTCCAGGACTTAGTGATATCTCTGGTAGCAGATGAACTAGCCACAGCAGGTGCCACCCTAGCCAGAGCTTGCGGGGAGGGTTGACTACAACTAGATTCCGAAAAAGAGGAAATTTAAATGCCTCTGTCTACTTGTAGATATTTAATCGACAAACATGTTATAGATATAGCGGAGTACCGGTGGAGTCAGTCCCTAACTTGTTCAGACTTGTCAGAAGACAGAGAACACCATACAATGTCTATTATAGAAGCTGTCAGGGGGTAGAAGAAAATAAGACTACAGAACATCTTCTATGCCAATGCACGGCTTTTTATAAGAAAAGATTCGCAACTATTAGTTGAGGGTTTCTGGACAATGTCTGCGAACTTGCGCATATAAAACTTTTTGAACTAATGAACTTCATCAGGTGCATAGAGTGGTTCAGAGAGGACATATTGAAGTGAAAGGACTTTACACACTGTGGTTTCACAGTTTGCTGTAAATTCAAAACAAAAATCTGATTTTTTAATTAATATAATAATTGGTATAAGCCCTTTAACTAGTTATAAAAGTCTAAACGTCTGCTGATGAGAGATTTTATCAAGCTTGAAATTCCAATCATCTCAATTGTCCACAAGCCCTCGCATATATGTTCCCACAAGAATCGGCTTATCGGTTCTGGTCATATTCTACGTTTATGTACCATTTATTTATTGTACAACTGATATGATCAGGGAGCTATAAGCTACAATATTATTATAGTTCGTCAACGAAGGAATACATTTACCGCTTCCGCAAAGGCAATCTTAGCTGCTTTGAAAACGCTGTTCATAGGAACGAACGATGTTCAGAGATTTCATGAAAGTACTAAGACATTATATTAACGTCAAATATCTAAGTTAATCATCAAATCGAATATGTTTCACAGTTACTTCAATATACTACTAAATTTAATGTCACAAATTTAAATGCTGTCTCTGAAGCGCTTAGTTCAGCAAATCCTTTGAAAAGTAACAGAAATATTTACAAATACACTTACAACTGTATATATATTTTTATGAAAGCCATATTATTATTAACACCAACAAAAGTGTCTCCGCTTCCAAACACTTCAAAACTGATTTGCATTCTTTTGAAGCAGAAATACTTTGTAATCTAACACTAACAACTATTTCCAACGATATTTGCACACAAATACCAACACAAACGCACACACATACACAGAGATGAAGTGTTAACTGCAATCGCAACAAAATTCATAATTCATAAGCTATACATTGAATGAAATTGAATATTTTTTAAGCCTTTCGCACGTAGCAAGAAGTGTGCTTTTAGGCGTTCGTGCATGTAGCCAAAGCAACCACAGACAGAATCCAGTTAGTTTGGCAATGTCGCGCATTATAATGACGTGTTTACATGTGTCTGTATATTTGTGTGGGAGTGTGTGTGCTTGTAAGTACATGTGGAACATAAAGCCTTCAATGCGCTCTGCAATACATTCAACTTTTCAGTTTTTCGTTTGTTTATCGAAAGTCAGCGGTAACACCGAGACCTTTCTCGCGCACACACCCCTTTAGATACCGTTGCGGCTGGTGCAACAAATCTATCAGCTTTCGGTTTGAAAGCATTCATACATACCTACACACACGCCAACGAAATTTTTCACCTATACATTCAGTTAGATAGACCATAACATTAGTGTGGTTCTTTTGTGAACCAGAGAAAAGTTTTCTCTAAGAAAATTCTAAAATTTTTTATATATTACTGGGGAATAGTTCATATGTTTATATTAAATATATTTCAGTACAAAAATGTCTACTACTAATTTTTTTCTCATATATACACATGTACAAGTATATAGGATATTATTTCAGATATTTAAATAAAATTTAATGGGAACATTGTTGCTCACAAAATTTGTTTAAAACTGATATTTACCATCCCTAGCTCCCATAACATATATTTCTTCGACAAATTTTACATAAAACTTTGTTCTCACGACGATCATATCTGTTTTAGAAGTTATGAAAATTATTGATTAAGAAATGAACATTTATAACAAGACAGGCATAAAGCAATGGAATTTTGTAACCTTAAAAACTATAATCAACTGATCAAATTTGACCCGGATTGACAAAAATTCATTTTCAAGTTTTTTAAAACAAATCTTTACTATCTCCTTCAAGCATGCCATGGCTTACTTCAATTTTCTATACACTTCTTAAAAGCCTTGACTGGGATGGCCTTCAGCGCCAATCGATTCAGCTCGTGTTTGCAGCGCCATTAAAAGTAGGTTGCTCAGCTAAGATCTCTACTCGACGTCACCATAAAAGCAAAAGCTGGGACGAGTCTGACATTGAAACGCTTCATACCCAAAACTTTAACCAATTCATAAGAAATGTTGAGAACTTTTGCTACCTCTCTGAAGC